TAGCCTATAGAACATATTTTCTGCCTCATTCTGTGACAAGAAGCCACATCAGATCACAAAAGGAAGCATTTGACTGGTGTTGTGGAGTAAAAAGGTTATAATGTTCTCTTTTGTTGGACAACAGGTTTAAAAATGTGAATACAAGTAAAGTTTAGCTTTTAGACATTTTAATTTAAAGGGGTCATATGATGTTGCTAAAATTACCATTATTTTGTGTAATGAAATTCAAAAAACACATTATTTTCCACATACTGTACATTATTGTTTCTTCTCTATGCCCCGTCTTTCTGAAACGCGTCAATTTTTACAAAGCTCATCGGTCTGAAAACATTCACTGCTGTTGAATTTAACCCAATATGACGACTTCCGCTGCTGAGAAACCAGGAAATGTGAAAAAGGTCCATTCACATTTTTTTCTCCTTTGAATTGCGAGTTTATATCTCACAGTTTGGACTTTACATCTTGCAATTTGAATGTTGTATCTCGCAATTCGGATTTACATCTCTCGATTCAGATTTTATAGCTTGTAATTCATACTTTCATAGTGCAATTTGGACTTTACATCTTGCAATTCAGATTTTATAGCTTGTAATTTGTAATTTCATTGTGCAATTCAGACGTATTTCGCAATTCAGACTTCACATCTCTCAATGTGGATTTTACATCTTGAAATTCGGGCATTATATCTTGCAATTCAGACTGTACGTTTCTCAATTCTGAGTTTATATCTTACAATTCGGACATTACATCTCGCAATTCAAGTTTTACATCTCACAATTCGGGCATTATATCTTGCAATTCAGATGTTATATCTCACAATTCAGATGCTATACCTCGCAATTTAGATGTTATATATAGCAATTCGAACTTTACATTTCTCAATTCTGAGTTTCACAATTCGGACTTTATATCTCGCAATTCAGACGTTACACTTTTCAATCCTGAGTATTTCACAATTTGAAGTTTATATCTTACAATTTGGAGTATATCTGTCAATTCGGACATTCAGACTTTACATTTCTCAATTTACACTTTACATCTCGCAATTCTGACTTGATATCTCAATTCGGTCTTAGTATCTCGCAATACAGATTTATTTTTTCTGAATTCTAAGTTTATATCTGGCAATTGTGAGTTTATATCTTGTAAATTCTGACTTTATATCTATATATCTATTACAGTGAAGTTATATATCTATTACATCTATATATATTAGAGTGAAGTCAGTTTTATTCTTTACAGCATAATAAGACATCTATTAAGAACTTTTATAGAGTCTGTTTTGATTTCATGTTAATTTTACGGAACAGACTGAACCTCCTCCCACTATCTGCATAGCTCCAACTTCACTTTCTTGGCACAACAAGCATGCTTCCACCATGAACACTTCTCAATTTGTCATTTTATTTAAGCAAAGTCCTCTGCTTGTCACTGTCTTCTCTCGCTGCCACAGGGGACTGTCAATGAACTCGAAACCATGGGATGGAAAGAAGCAGCAGACAGTGTGAGCAATCTGAAAGCTGATGAAATGCTGATCGCAAAAATAGGGAGAATATGTGGCCGGTGTGGAGCAGACTGAAGTGTAAAAATAAAACTGTAGAGGCTGCATGTGCTGAGAACCTGGCCAGGCTTCACAGCATCTCATTAAGAGTTTCAGACAGCCGCAGTTTCTACAAACACATTTCTCAAATTCTTCACACTTCCCTAAGATATTGATCCGCTGTTTCATAGCATGACTGTTGCTTTCTCTAGTGAAAGCGTGAGCTGACAGAGGGTGAATTTAATGAGAAAGTTTTGTTACACACAGAATACTGCTGGCTGGAGATCATATAAAGGCAATGCTGTGTAAATGTGGTCAAATGGGAGGCGACAGGGTAAAAAACCTGATCTCCAGACATCGTTACACTGGAACATCTGCAGACAGAAGCACTCACAAACACACACACGCTACGTATGGAATATCACACTACTGTACAGTAATACTTTTTATAATTTCTGCAGTATATTGTGCACAGTATGCGATTTTCTTGACAAATGAATTTGATATTAGTGCAATGAGCCCCATATCAGTTACATTAAATCTCCTTTTTTGACTTCTTATTTGATTGGACTGAACAACGTTACATACTGTTTCAGACACTTAAATTCTATGCCGTATATACACTAAATATAGAATTAAAGGTGGGGTAAGCGATTTTTCAGAAACGCTTTAGAAAACTGATTCGGGCTGAATAGCAAAACAAACTTGTAGCCAATCAGCAGTAAGGGGCGTGTCTACTCATGATGTGGAGGAGAGAGAGTTAGTGCACAGGATGGACATTAGCGAGCCGAGCGACAGAAAGATAGATGGCGGATAAAAAACAAAAGAGGAAAACGTCTGCGGAACAAAATAAGGCTTAAGGCAATAAGGCAAGAAGTAGGACCCGTGTAAATATCGGATCGGTTTTCCAGCGCTGGAGAGAACTCAAGGAGCGGAAGGCCTGCGATCGGACGCCGAGGTGGCTTTGTTTCTTCTCGATAGGTGAGTAACACCGTGTCTGCGCCGCAACAGCTGTCTGTCTAGTACACTGGACGCGACAAAGCGATCGTTGAAAATCATTTGAAATTTGTGTCAATACGTCATGAATAGAACGCAGCAGCAGTTTTCTGTCAGGGATTTGTCGTGTCGTGCCGCATCCAGTGTAGACCATAGATATGTACAGTATATACTGTATATATATGGTGTAGGTCCGGTGTAGACACGGTGTAACATTGGTTTTGCTTTGTTTCACAGAACTAATCGCTGCCTGGGTTGCGTACGTATGTGTGGGGCGGAGCTATAAAAATAGGGGCAAGACCCTTTTGGGCTAGGGGCGTGTTTGTTTTGGTGATTTCAAATGTCAACATTGGCTACCAGAAATCGCTTACTCCACCTTTAAAGCTGTACATAAAAGATTATTGAAGTATGATTGACAAAAAATACTATTTCATACTTTCTACTTCAGCATTTCATGTTTAATTCAATCTGTTTCTTTGCAGTATCTTTATAATTATTTGTGACATTTCATAGCAATTTTCACATTTCCTGGTTTCATAGCAATTTCTGAGTAAAAAATAGTTTCACCATCAGTTTAATTTTTATTTAATATTTATTTGTTAACTAAAACCATAAAAAAACCATATTCATTACTTGAAATAAAATGAACATTAACTGAAATAAAATAAAATTTTAAAATACTTAAAATAATTTTCATTTTCATTTAGTTTAATTTGAAGTACTAAAGTAAAACGAAATAAACTAAAACTCAAACATAAATAAAAACTATATAGACATTAAAAATAAACCAAAAAATATAGAAATGACAACACACAACAAAATGACTAAAACTAAATTTTAAATGAAACTAAAATAATAGTAATAGTATATAATGATACTAAATAATTCCAAAAAGTAGAAAATAATAGAATATAAATGATACTAAATAAACGCTGGTATAGGCTCATTTAAAGTCTCAACTGAGAAACAACATGGAGAGATTTAAAAGGAGACATATAATGTTAAAGGGGTCATATGATGCGATTTCAAGTTTTCCTTTGTCTTTGGAGTGTTACAAGCTGTTCGTGCATATAAAAGATCTGTAAAGTTGCAAAGACTGAAGTCTCTCAAACCCAAAGAGATATTCTTTATAAAAGTTAAGACTCATTTAAACACGCTCACACAAATCTACGTCCCTGTGTTGGAAGATTTGCATAACGCCACCCAAATGTTTACGCAAAGAAAGAAGGCGCAACTTTTATTCTCGCTGTGGTATTGTTGCCGCCGCCATGTCATGGAGTGTGTGTTTCCAAATAAGATAAGGCGCATAACATTTCCGTTTTCGAGGTATTCAGCCAATCACAGCGCACTGGATAGCTGGCCAATCAAAGCACGCCGCGCTTTGGCGTACATAAAACTCCAATTCTTCAGACTTACACAAATGCATCAGGATTTTTCTGTCATTAGGTCATTTCATAATGATCCCATTTATGAGATGAGTGCACACGAACACCAACATTAATGCCTTAGTTACCAGTCAGAGAATTTCCCATAAGCTGATATTAAAAAGATCACTAAAAATTTTAATTAGAACTGTAGTACAAAAGGTGGACATACATTTTCAGTGTTAAATTAAAATGTTTCAGAGTTGGTATTGTTAACTAAATCTAAAATCTTTAAATATGTTTTTGACAACTGAAAAAAAGCTGATAAAAATATAAATATTAGATGAAAATCTTAAACTAAAAGTATAAATCTTGCCTTTGCAACTAAATGGGATTAAATAAGTCTAAGTTAAAGTACTACAATTACTCAAATTTAAAATTACATAAATTAAAGCTGAATAGAAATATTGAAAAAAACTAAACGACAAAAGCACATAACAGAATTACTAAAACTAAAATTAAAATGAAAACAAAATATAAAAGCTAATTCAAAATAGTAATAGATATTATAAATATATATAAATAATACTAAAATAAGACTGAAATGTTTGTAAAATGTTTCTAAAAATGAACTCATCATGTTAGATAATAGAAAAGTTAATCTAAATGTAAAAACAGGCAGAAATTAGCATGCACAATTATCCAATATCGACCGATGCTAATTTAAAATCATTAATATCAGCCGATGACCAGTATGGTACATTATGAATCACTAACAAGAATCATACTTTGAGAAATTTTGAGGAAACATCAGTTACGCACCTAATGCGCACATGAAATGCACATCAAATCAACTTGTAAGTGGAAACTACCCAGAAGCAGTGTGTGATCATGCATATCTGAACTAAAATATAAGTTGTGGAACTCAAACCAAAAACAGAAAATATATCACATAAACAACAATAGCAAAAAATATGGAAAGAATAGCAACTTTTATGTCTCAGTTAAATAATTTTACTGTCAGATTTGTAAACACAGTTATTACAACTTACATCATTCCAGAATATGGGGTTGTGTTCGTAGCCTCCCACGGAGAGAGCATCACCTTGCAGACGGAGGTAGACTGATGCATCATGGTCCCTGACGTTGGGCATATTCTAGTGAAAAAAGACATTTTATAATTTAAAAACAAGTTCATATCATATTTCGAAAGAAAACTAGCTCATTATGTTCATGTATGACAAGGCTTTTTGTAGAAGCCATATGGAGCTTTACTAAACAACAACATGACTCCATCTCACCACATGCTGATACGAGCAGTGTGTTCAGTCACACACTACCATTCCAATGCTCGGAGGAATTCAGTTTTTTCATGTTTTTGAAAGAAGTCTCTTCTTTTCACCAAGGTTGCATTTATTTGATCAAAAATGCAGTAAAAACAGTAATATTATGAAATATTATTACAATTTAAATGAACTATTTTCTATGTGAATATATTTTAAAGTGTAATTTATTCCTGTGATGCAAAGCTGAATTTTCAGCATCATTACTCCAGTCTTCAGTGTCACATGATCCTTCAGAAATCATAATAATATGCTGATTTGCTGCTCAACAAACACGTCTTATTATTATCAATGCTAAAAACACATTTATTTCTCGGTTTCAACATAGGGCTCAAAAACAGACCAAGAGCCAAAAGAAAGAAAGTGAAGGAGGGACAGACACAACACAGTGGGGAGAATCCACTAAGATTGAAGTGCATTGACTAATGATGACCAATTCACTAAAGGAATTACAGACATTAGGTAACGACGCGAATGCAGTGACAAAATCAGTGCTGAACAAAAATTTTGAGTGCTAAATTGAGGAAAATAATGCCGAAAAATATAATCCAGCAGTGTACAGCTTCACTGTGATTCAGGCACCTGAGATGACCAATTAAAACAGCATTTGAACTTCATTTAATAAATATCAGTTGCCATTATGTCTAGAAAATATCTCTTAAATAGTTTGGTTATTAATTGCTCTGCCATTTTTATTGGCCCCACTACAAACAGGATCGATTTTAGTAACATATTTTAGCTTTCAATATTATTAAATATTTTTTGGAACATGGGATACTTTTTCAAGATTCTTTGATGAATAGAAAATTTAAAAGAACAGCATTTATTCAAAATAGAAATATTTTGTAACAATATACACTACTGTTCAAAGGTTTGGGATCAGTACTTTTTTTTCTTTCCTTTTTTGAAAGAAATTCTTTTTTTTTTTCAGCAAGGATGTGTTAAATTGATAAAAAGTGATAGTAAAGTCTTTCTATTTTGATTTCTATTTTGAATAAATGCTGTTCTTTTTAACTTTTTATTCCAACATTGATAATAAATCAGCATATTAAAATGATTTCTGATGAATCATGTGACACTGAAGACTGGAGTAATGGCTGATGAAAATTCGGCTTTGCTTCACAGAAAGAAATTCTATTTTAAAGCATATTAAATAGAAAACCGTTATTTTAAACTGCAACAATATTTCACAATATTACTGTTATTTCTGTATTTTTGATCAAATAAATGCAGCCTTAATGAGCGCAAGAATACATTTTTAAAAAACATTAAAAACCTTGATCCCAAACTTTTGAACAGCAGTATATATGTTTAAAATGTCTTCATAATATATAATGATACTTTAATATTGCATGTAAAAACATAAATGTATGGCTGCTGAAAAACAGTAATCTAGTGTGAAACATTACTGATCTATTTATGATTTTCACACCACCCTAAACTGATGCTTGTCTGTCACATGTCATTTTCTTTGGTTTCCTTGGTAGCACATTTAATTTAGTACAATTCCTTGGTTTCCTTGGTAACATTTTTAAATTAGCACAAGTCTTCTATAGACACTGTAAAGACACAAAAACACTTATGCAAGATATGAAATGCAGTATCTATGCAGCACTAGTCGGCTGGTGCAAGTGGCTAAATTTGGAATAACTTGAATAAAAATGCTTAATGACTAAATGTAAAAACCTTTTCCATTAAATTAAAACATAGGACGCATATTTGCACTAAATATAATGCTAATTACTTCATTTAAATATGGAGCAGTGCTATTGCCGCACATGGTTAAACTGGACTGCAGGTGCTTTTGAACCAAAATATCGCATACTAAAATGATGGAACTGTTCTGTAATTTTTTTTCTTGTATAATCATTAATATCAATCAATAATGGATGCTGGACTCTGTTTCCCTGCATGCACCATGGTATGAATAAATCATGCAAATTAGCGCCTCACTGTTTTGTAATATGTGCATTTCTCTCCTTGATGTGAATTTGAGTGTCTGCTGTGTTCTGTGCATTGAATTCTAAAGATCTATGCTGTGCTGAACTGGACAGTGAGACTCATTTGAAAGCTCACCTGAATTCCCTCGATTCTTTCTGTGACGACATAAGCGTGGTGCATGGCAATCAAAGGAACATTGACGCCTGCCATTTCCCCCAACTTAGTGGCCCAGACACCTGAAAAAACACACACAGGATTTTGCTGTATAATATTTGAGCAGATATTTGATGAGATTTGATAAAGAAATCCATTTTTAAAAATACTTAAAATATTTAAACATTTACGTAAAATAATCAATAAGTAAACACTAATTTAAATAAAAATATATTAAAATAATAAGAAAATTACCCACTACCTGGCTATACTTTTACAGAATGTATAAATGACGTTTGATATAATTCCTATTAATATTTCTGAATGTTTTAAAGGGTAATATAGTGTAAAATACTTAATCATCTATTCTATTTAAAATTTTAATTTGACAATTTAGATGAATAATTGAGTAACTGATAACAGGCAAAGCAGAATCCCAGTAAATGAGATTCATCTGAAAGGTAAATTCATTATATGATTTATTTGATTATACAGGTATATGCATATTTACATATTTAATTTCCCATATTTTAATTGAAAATATGTGAATAGCAGCACTATGAATGCAAAGCCAATGATTTCACTAAATTAGCCTAGAGGTTTTAATAAAAGCAAAGAGGTCTGAAATGTACATCTAATACAAAGAAATATTAAATAATAACCCCATTAATTACAATAAATATTACATTTAAAAATAACACCACTAGTAACAACATGCCACTTGGGACATTTCACAGAACACTATTTTCAAAAGACACAAAATTAGATCAATTAACCTCAAAACTCTCTCAACTGAGTAAATCTCACAAATGTTGATATTCAGATGAAATGACAAAATTTAAAAATAGTATAACCATTCAAAAGTGTTTAGATGTGTTTTTTCCCCCATCTATGTTCAAGAGTGTTGTTACATTTTAAGGTAATTTAGACAAATATAATTTAAAAATCAGCTTTCAGAATGGATTATTTAATTAAATAAGAAGTGACTGCAGCTTGTGTTAAATGGCATTTCGCTATCACAGACTGCCCTCTGCTGGTGAAGTCTGCATAATTCTGACCTGCACAATTCACCACACATGGTGTTTGGATGGTCCCATGAGCAGTTTCCACCTCTTTCACTCTCTTAACACCCAAATCATCAACCTTAACCTGGATACCCGTCACTGGACAATTCTCAATCACCTGTAATCAATGATAAACATATCAATATGGTTCATACATTGTCATAACTTAAACCAGACCACTGGCTTACAATACAGTAATTCACCCTGTGCTCCATTAGCTTATATATAGAATAATTCAAGCATCACTTAAAAAAGTAAAGGGTATGGAGACGTACAGTGGCACCGCGTGCAGTGGCTGCTCTGGAGAGGGTGGTGCAGGTGCCTGCTGGGTCCATGGTGCCGTCTTTAGGCACATACAGCGTGCCATAAAGATCTTTCACATTCATCAGAGGATACAGGTCCTTGGTCTCAGCAGGTGATAGGACGTATGACTCAATGCCGTACGCTTTACCCAGCTGAAATGCAAAATCTATGAGTATTTTACTTATCAGGTTATCTTTAATCACTCACATTTCATTCATTATGTTTACTAAATTATAGATTTTCTAGGCAAGGCTAGAAAAACAGTCAATTCATTTATTAAAACCATTTGTTTTTGCAATTTTACTGCACAGACCCATCTTGGCAAGATGTGTGGTTTAGGATTTGTGCCATACCGACATGAGGCGCTTGTATTCGTCCAGTCGCTGCTTGTTGGAAGCAATGAACAGGCCTCCATTTTGGATCCAACCCGTCTCGAGGTCAGTCTCCTCCTCCAACTCTGAGCTGATCACGTTGCGAGTGTGAGCCAACAGCTCCACCTCGGTATCACTAGGTCTTAACTGCCACAAAAGTCCTGTGAAAAGGTAAAAAGATTGTATTATACAAACAGAAACAAAATTCAAAAGATGAGCTGGAGCTCATTATTTGACAGACTGCTACGCCCAAGGATTTGGCTTTAACTATTACAAAATCAACTCTGTAAGCCTATTCATGGAGTAAACTCTTGAACTACACTCACTGTACAAGTGAGGAATTAAATCTGCTTTGCAACATTAATTACATTTTCTATATTGTGCACATGCAACCTAGGTTCTTTTTTTACACATTATGCACTGAAACAAAACTGATGTGTTTCTGCCTTTACTTTTTTAAGTTGTTGGAGCACAGAAAGAAACTCTAATCACAAAGTAAACAAAGTGCAATACCTGCCGTGTGCCAGGTGGTGCCTGCAGTCAATCTGTCCCTCTCCAGCAGAACTACATTGGTCATGCCTAGTTTACACAGGTGGTAGAGGGTCTGGCAACCCAGGCTTCCTCCTCCAATCACCACAACATCTGCAGACTTCGGCAGCGGTTTTGAATGAATGAATGAATGAATGAATGAATGAATGAATGAATGAATGAATGAATGAATGAATGAATGAATGAATGAATGAATGAGCCAAACAGACGGAGAGAGCTGCGACGTCTGTCTGACGACAAACTAAAGATTTCATACTTCAATCTGGATTAGAGGATTTTTGAGGGGGCTCCTGTGTATTCAGGTTTCGGCAGTTCACAATTTTGTCTATTTGCAAACTTGTTTGAGGGAAATCGAGGGAAAAGTTGACGTTCTTATTTGCATATATTGATGGAATTAATATCGATGAGTGTCAGACAGGTAGAGCACGCGACCTTTTGTAATAACTGCTTGACCGTCAGTTTATGAACGTTTCATAGACTTTAAAATCCTACGAACTTTTATGAGCTGACATAACTTTTTGACGTTACCTCAGACACTAAAAGTATTTCGGGCGAATGTGCACGAATATTTATCAGATTTTGCTTCCAGCATGATATTAATAAGGTGTGAGGCTTTATTAGCATGTACACCTACACCTACCCCAACCCTAAACCTACCCTTACAGTAGGATAAATACAGTGTTGGTAGCATAATCTGACAGGTAGCATTATTTGTCAGAACACCGGCCGTTCCTTACTCTACCCCGCCGTGTGACGCTGTGTGTTTCGTTGTGAAAGCAAATCTACTTTGTTTGGCCTTCCAAAAGAGGACACAACTAGAAATCAGTGGTTAAGTTGTATTTACAACACTGTTCCAGAACACTTCAACCCAAATATTCAGATGGTTTTGTAAAATAGATGGCATGCAATAAAAAAAACAAAAACAAACATGACCATAAATCAGCGTGTGTGAAGTAACGTTAGGTCGGTCAGTAGTTCAGTAACGTTAGTAACTTCGCGTTTGTTGCTCACTTATATAAAACTTACTGAAAGAGCGCAAGTCCTCTGTTTGTTACCTGCTTCTTTAACACTGTGAGACTGCTGTTAGACATGTTCATAAACAGAGCAACTGGTGCTCAAATATGGCTGTTTGCTTGCTGACTGACAGAGCATGTGATGTGGACGAACACACAGCTGTGCTGTGGCGAGCTTCAGAACTGCAGACGCGTGAATGAATCATTTTTGCCTCACTCAACGTATGCAATGCAAACACGATGAAATTGTAAACCACTTGACAACTAAATAAAGAATAATAATGTGCAAAACAGTCGACATTTCAAACACAATTCACGCGTTTTGTAAAATAGATGGCATGCAATAAAAAAAACAAACAAACATGACCATAAATCAGCGTGTGTGAAGTAACGTTAGGTCGGTCAGTAGTTCAGTAACGTTAGTACCTTCGCGTTTGTTGCTCAATTATATAAAACTTACTGAAAGAGCGCAAGTCCTCTGTTTGTTACCTGCTTCTTTAACACTGTGAGACTGCTGTTAGACATGTTCATAAACAGAGCAACTGGTGCTCAAATATGGCTGTTTGCTTGCTGACTGACAGAGCATGTGATGTGGACGAACACACAGCTGTGCTGTGGCGAGCTTCAGAACTGCAGACGCGTGAATGAATGAATGAATGAATGAATGAATGAATGAATGAATGAATGAATGAATGAATGAATGAATGAATGAATGAATGAATGAATGAATGAATGAATGAATGAATGAATGAATGAATGAATGAATGAATGAATGAGCCAAACAGACGGAGAGAGCTGCGACGTCTGTCTGACGACAAACTAAAGATTTCATACTTCAATCTGGATTAGAGGATTTTTGAGGGGGCTCCTGTGTATTCAGGTTTCGGCAGTTCACAATTTTGTCTATTTGCAAACTTGTTTGAGGGAAATCGAGGGAAAAGTTGACGTTCTTATTTGCATATATTGATGGAATTAATATCGATGAGTGTCAGACAGGTAGAGCACGCGACCTTTTGTAATAACTGCTTGACCGTCAGTTTATGAACGTTTCATAGACTTTAAAATCCTACGAACTTTTATGAGCTGACATAACTTTTTGACGTTACCTCAGACACTAAAAGTATTTCGGGCGAATGTGCACGAATATTTAATAAAGTAATGAGGGGTTTATGATTGGGTGTCTGTTGCTAAACAGCTCGCCTATAGTCAGGGGCGATTCTAGGATTTTCATTTTAGGGGGGCTCAGCCCCCAATGAGGGTATATATATATATATATATATATATATATATATATATATATTCAAATGAAAATGGCAACATCGTTTTATAAAGTATATGAGTTCATATGTGCTTAATTTTCACTGGAGGAAACATGTGGTGTGATGAGCGGTGAACACAGCGAAAACTTAGATGGGCTACAGTAGATGGGGAACCGATTGCTCCCCCATGATATTTTGTAAACTGTAATTATGACAAAGAACTGCACAGATGCAGATATTATAACAATCTATCGATAAACACACAGCTTGTCCTCTGTTTCTCACTCTGCGCTGCCGCGGTCTGCGGATTGAAAAAGAGCCGATCGAAGTCTGCTGCCGTTTTCATATGAAATGGACTGAGGCGATCACGAATTCGTGTACAGTTTATGGCTATAGCCCCCCTAAAAATGGCCTAGCGACGCCCATGCCTATAGTTCTGGCATTAATTTGTACAATTTGGATTTTAACATTCGGATTTAAAATTACAAGTGTGAAACGTTTAAATTGGGTTAAAAGTGGTCTTACTTTACGTTTTCAATCAGTTAACCTGACGTTTCAAAACATCAGAAAATAGTCTGTCATTCCAAAAATGCTGTCTAGGCAACTGGTTTTGAGGCAGCCTGAGGGTTTTTCAGAGAGTTCCAGAACAATGCATGCATTGCTTACCTGTCAGATGAATAAGTCCACGAGGGAAATACAACAAACACAAGAAATGGTTTTGCTGCTGCAGACGTTATGTGCTGTTTAGTGCACTGCAGCTTAAACGTCCTATTGCCTGCAGCTCAGATCCATTGGTTTGCAAGCGGCCAAATAGACATGTTAACCCTAGTGTAAACTCTCCACCCACCAACTGTAGATTTGTAGTAGGTTCAGTCTGACTGCAAAAACAATGGGAAGAAAGAAATGTTATTTACTGCGTTATGCATGCATGTATGTATATATACAGTATACGCATTTTTTTATACACTAGAAAGATGTTAACTTTATTCTGATTTATACATTTATATTTGGCATGTGAAGACTCAGCTGTTAGTTTTCCCTCAGAGCAGATCACAATTAGAGCAGAAAGGTTGATCTCAGACATCTGCTCTACTGTTAGGATTTATAGGATTATATATGAATTTATATGAATTATAGGAGGCTTCATTGCTCCTAGAAAACATTGAGAATATAATTGAGCATTACAGGAGGAATATAATAGGATATATCTCTTAAGACTATGTGGTGAAAGATCTAGACTTCGAACATACATTATAAAACACAAACATGAATATAAAATTGGTGTCAGTATGCATGCAAATAAGCTTGCAAATTTGATTATTAATTTAACACAAAAATACATTTTAGGAATGAGTTATGCTTACTATAAAGGGTTTTTGAGTGTTTTAATGTAATGTCTTACAATTTCACAACGTCACTGACAGAATAACAACAGTGTTTTCCAGATACCATGAACTGTGACCATTATTGGCTGACCTATTTCTATATACAAGCCCAAAAAACATCCTGAAGAGTTTGGAAACTCTCTGTTTCAGACACCTTGCCTATCTGAGACAACCAATCAGAAGAGGTTTAGTGAGCCCCCACACAACACACTTCATGAAGCAATGACAGAAGCCTATACTGCGCCCATTCATTCAGATACTTACAAACTGTTGTAAAATGCTATTTAAGGCACTGGAGATTATTTATTGAAAAGTCAGAGCAGTGTTTAGCCTACAGAGCACTAGAACATTGGATAACACACTAACAGTTTGACATGACATTACACAGACAGATGATCAAAACCATCTGATTGGACATTTCAAACTGCTGTTTCTGTGCAATAATCATTGCAAAGCCATTGATTGTGTGTCATTTGAGAACGAACTGCTCAGATGCGAATCTAGACGCAGTGCGGTTTTGCTGTTCTTATGAAACAGGGTTCACTGGGGTCATGAGGGGAGATGCCTTCAGCTGAGAAAGTCACTCTTACAGACGCTGAACCCTTATACTTGCACCTGACCCCTGCATGGATCTAAATGAAATAAGCAGCAGTCTGCACATTCAACAATTCAACACCTCAATATTGTGAGAGAAACAGTCATATCATAAAAGAGTAACTCAGTATTACTGTAATGTGTGACTCGGGACTCTGTATCATTAACAAGAGCTTCTATATCCTGCAATCGTTGTTTTATTTTTTTAACTAAATAATTTACCTTTATATTTGTATTGATTGTTTCCTGTCTGGTACTAATGTCTGAAGAAACTGCCGTGGTGCTTGTCGATGCACAATTTATGTGGAACTGAAAACCCTTGTAAATAATGTCAGGAAGGCCACTCGGATTGAGAACAACTATTTCAAACTACTTCAGACATTTGTGAACTTTGCGTACAAGCTACTGTATGTACTGTAAATTCACCCTCATCAGTGTTATTTTAGTATCATTGATATACTATTATAATTGTATGTTTTCCATTAAATTTTAGTTAAAGTTTTAGTAATTTTCTTTGGTTATTTTGTCATTTATATAATTTTTTTTAAACATCTCTATTTTTTTTAATTAAGTTTTAGTTTTTAGTTTGAGTTGATTTAGTTTTAGATATTTTAGTACTTCCAACTTAAACTAAACGAAATGATTTTTAGTTAAAGTTTTAGTAATTTTCTTTGGTTATTTTGTCATTTATATTATTTTTTTTAAACATCTCTATTTTTTTTTATTAAGTTTTAGTTTGAGTTGATTTAGTTTGAGATATTTTAGTACTTCCAACTTAAACTAAACGAAATGACAAATGTTGCCTTTAGCAACTATTTGAAATAAGTTTATGTATTTATTTTATTTTTATATTTTATTTCAGTG